TCTCTCTCTCTCCCTCTCTCCCTCTCTCTCTCTCTCTTTCAGATTTTTGCTGTCTCCTGGTAATATCTAAAAATTGAAAAGAAATTCTCTATCAATCAGTTTGTCCGTTTTCTTTCAGCCACCATCAGGAACAAAGATTCCCTGGCCTTTGACCACTCTGTTGGCCGCCCTGACGCCACAACGGCCCGTGCCGAGGTGGAGGAGCGTCTCCGTGTGATCTGTGACACATCCCGTAATGACGTCAGACCCGAGTCTCCCCGCCAGTTCTCCGAGCTGGTCGCCGCCATGAGGTCGCTCTCTCAGGGAGACCTGGAGGATCTGTACAAGATGCTTAAGACCAAGACACTCTGCCCAGACAACGACAGGACAAAGTGAGTTTCTAGGTCAATTGTCTTACCCCATGAAAGTCAAGAAGTATGGTGACGATAAGAACTTACACTTCAAAAAGCCGTATAGAAATTGTTGTATGTTTCTGAATTGTAGCTTACAATGCGACAACGTCGTGGATTGTTCTGGTAATCTGAAACATTCCCTTCACGGGAAGACACACGGACTTTCAAAAGCTTGAGTCACACATCTTGCCGTTAAGACCCTAACCCACCTTAGCAATTTCCCTTTGCTTTACTGTCATTAATTTATTTTTCCATATTGATTACCTTTAGTAAATATAAAAACATTTGTTAAAAAAAACGTGATGTAGTATATGTGAGGCAGCGTGGTGGAATCAGGCTCTCGTCAAAATAATCAAAATGAAGAAACTTGCATTTTTCCCGCTGGTTTGTAAATTTTTATCAAATTTTTTGGGGTTTTTTTTTGGCTCAACACCTTTCATGCCCATTAAAGAACTGATTTCTGTGTAGATTTTCTGAAAAACGTTGATTAAACGCACACAAAAAATGTCAATTTTCAGTTACCACGGACTTCTCTGAAGCTAAGGAAATAACTAATCTTTGGCGGCCATTTTCTCACTAATTTTACCCCTGAATACAGGTGACGCTCACCTCCATATTTTACAAATATCTCGACTTCTATTCAAGATAAATGAATAGTTTTGTCATCCAAATAGATACAAGTGAACAAGTTTTAAGATCATACCAATAACTCTACATGCCCCAAAATTGACGAGAGCCTGATTCCACCACGCTGCCTCACATATATCGTTGAGGATAAAATAACAATATATAGACCGTTGTATCATGTGTTACTACAAACAACTAAAACTAGTTGATTTAAACAAACTACCACTTTCATTTTCAGCAAATTTTTCTTGGATGCCTTGCCCCTTTCATCTACTGACGCGTCCGTCAAGCTGATGACGTCACTGATCGCCAGCAAAGATGTCAAGGGCGTCCTCGCCCAGGCCTGGATCACGTCTTTTGGCTTTGTGCAAACCCCGACCTCGGAGATGCTGCTCAGTGCCAAGGTACCTTTTTTTGTCTTTTGACATGAGTGGCGCACATTGGAAATAATATCAATAATTTCATTTTACAGTAGAGCTATCTGCAAACACTATTCCAGTTACGAGCAAGGATTTCTGAAGAAGAAAAAACCGCTTCTCACAGTCTGTATTTTTGTCTACGTGATAACCTTGGAATAAAGCATGGGCAGTTGTCTTCCTATAGTGTGTTTTGTTCAGAGCATTTGCTATGCTTACACCAGCAGGAGGGGGATGGGGAAATCCGCTCTTTTTCCTGGAACACTCATCTATTATGCATATAGTCAGATGTACTAGATACTCTAATGTGACATATTATGTTTGTGTAGTAACTATGTCTTGTTTCATATGAATCAGTTTTACTCAGAGTACAAGACCAATGTTAAAAGGGATGCAGTACATATACAATTACCAATCGCCACATGAAATATATACTAAAGCACTTCTAACATACGTTACACAATATCTGTCTCCCGCAGACTCTGGTGGACAACGAAGACACAAGGGACGATGCCCTGCTGCCCGTCTCCTCCATGGTGAACAACTACTGCAGGAAGATGACGTCATGTGACCAGGATTACGCTGTGCTCAGCATAATGGCCTCCCTGGAGAGAAACATTGGCTACCGCTGTGACGTTTCTGGAAAGAATTTCGAGAAGGTTCGAAAATAATATGTTACATTAATTAACAGGATGTCTTTCTTTTTGTTCGAGTTGAGGATTACACCACTTTCACAATGAAGTTTAAATAAGTGATATGGCAAAAGAAAGATGAAATACAGGAATTATAAGAATAAAAGGCGAACTACCATACCTGCGTGGAGTGTATTAGACTCTTGTCATGATGATTGTCATGTTGTTCTGTAGGTAACCATAACACATGATGGGCTAAAAAAAATTAATCCCCTTCTCCCTATCAACATTTACTTCTGTCTCTGGCATTGTTATTTTTTGTAGGGTTTTTAACAACTACTTTAGTGAACAACGTACTTTTCTTGACTTTAATGAATTCAGGTGTCGGCCTAGGTATAAAGAACCTTATTGGATCTGCTCAATGTGTTGGTTAAAAAGTTGAGGGAACCTCCGACCCCCCCCCCCCCCCAACCACCATTTCAAACGAACAGATCTGCAACTTGTCTTACAGTCACAGAAAACAGAAGACTCTACATCGCACCATGAGTTTAAGTACAAGTTAAACATTCCTTTCAACTTGCTTTTTATATTCCTCCCTTTCTCTTCCAGGTTCTCCTGTCCCTCCGGGCTATTGGAAACGCCGGACATGCGAGCCGAGCTGTTGGCCCCATTAACAAGTGCCTGAGCTCCCCCACCAACCCTCTGGAGATCCGTGTGGCTGCTGCTGAAGCTTTCAGACGCATGCCTTGTGAGGCAAAGGTAAGGGGGAAACACGTTTGATTTATGTTTTTTAAAATGCTGAACGCCTCTTCTGCCCAACTACCTTTTCCAGAAAGAAAAATAATTAGAACCGACTTATTAGATATTTGATTAAAGAATACCGCTGCAGCGACCCGGCCTGTCTGTGTATCAATCTCCCAACCAAAGTTAAAAAGCAACCAGAAACACAAATCGTGGAAGAAAAAGGGATCTCTCTCTCTATTTATATAGATGAATACCAAAATACATTTTGCAGTATCGTGCTATTGCAAGCTATTATTTTGGACAAAACGTTTTGTTACAAGTTACAACCACTCTGCACTTAATTGGGAACATATTTTGATACGAGACTACATAAACGTTTTTTTTCCCCAAACTGTTTCCATTAGGAGAACGAACTGTGGAACACCTTCGAGAACGGTGACCTGGACTCCGAGCTCCGAGTGGCTGCCTACCTGGCCCTGATGCGTTGCCCTAGCGACGCCACCCTGGGCAAGATGGCCGCCAGTCTGCTCAGCGAAGAGGATGACCACGTCGGTGCCTTCGTCTACAGCCACTTGACCAACCTGAGGGAGACTTCAGACCCACACCGACAGGACATTGCTCGTGCCGTGCAAAAGTGAGTTCACTGTCACTGTAAAATATGTCGTCTTGGACATTCTGGGTTCAACTAAACACGGAATAACGTGAAATTTAAACTTAGTAGTAGTTGCTTCTCTGATCAGACTTTTTAAAAAAGAAATATCTTTAAAAATCCCTTTGACTATAAATCGCATTAAAGGCAACAGTAATAAGTATAAAATGATACTAATTGAGCCATCGACGATCTCTTAAATCTCCAGTTCTCATGAGTTACTATTCCGAGCTCCCATATTCTGATACTTATATTTTATCTCTCGTGAGTTAATATTCACATTTCCGGCTTTTTTCCGAGCTCTTAAAAGTTAACAATTTCACTTTCAATCGTATTCCAAATCCTCATAAAAGTTTCCTTTTTCATCTTAATTCAAGCTCCCAAAAGTGAATAGTTCCATTTTCATTTTTATCCATAGCGTTCACAAGTTATTATTCTAGATTCTTTTTTTTTTTCAATCTTTTCCGGAGTTCTCATAAGAACTCATAGTTGCAAACTATTCTATCATTGTTCTTTTCCTCCTCTTGCAGTCTGGCACTGGAAAAGGAATTCGAGCTGAGCACCCTGAAGTATTCCCGCAACTTCGAAGTGTCCGCTCTCATCAACAAATTGAACATGGGATTCGCAGCAGAGAGCAACCTCGTCTGGTCCAGTGTGTCACAGATGCCCAGGTCCATCTCGGGAAATCTGACCGTCGATCTGTTCGGCCAGGCCATCAACCTGATGGACTTCGGAGCCCGTCTCGAAGGATTGGAATACCTTGTGAAGAACCTCTTCGGACCATACATGCCAGAAGAAGATAGATCAGACCAGAAGTTCAAGGTAAAGCAACTGTTTGACCGAAGTTTGAAAAGAATTGTTTGTTTCTTTGTTTAAGCTGCACGTTAATGCTATGCTAATCACAATTAAGAAATTCCAAAGACAGTTTGTCGGGCTATATTATGAGTGTAATGAAGGAAAGAAAGCAGTAAAATAGAGAGCAATGACATTGTTAAAAGGTAAATATCAGACAGGTATAGTTCAGTTCTCGTGTAAGAAAGTTTATTGGCTACCACCCCTTCACCCTGCCACCATTATTTCTTTCTTACTACTAACACATAACACCGCAAGACAAAAAATTAACACAAAGCAGAGTCTTTGATTACTGTTGTCAATTCGTACACCCTTACGAAATGATTAATCAGAAACTGAGCAACATCCATTAGCTCACCCCCCCCCCCCCAAAAAAAAAAAAACAACGACAACGACAAACAAAACATAGACTCAGCCAATCAACCAACCAACCCCCCCCCCCCCCCCCCCCCCAAAGAAGAAAAAAATAGATATACATATATATATATATATGTATATACATATATACATATTTTAAAGGAAAACTTTATGGGGTCTCCACACACACACACACAAATCCATCACCATAAAGTTGACTTCAAAGATAAAACGGCTTCCAGTTTGAATGGTAAACTTTTGGTGATACTCAAAGTTAACAAGATCGTATTGCCAACACGAATTCTATCAGGTTATAATATCGCAAAAATAGTCTAATAGTTATGTTTTATGACGTTCACAGAGCCGTGCAAAGGCTGAGGATGTTGAGGGCTCCATCTACGGCCGAATCTTTGGCAATGAGATGCTCTTCATGCACAGCAAGACAATGAAATCGCCCTTCAAGAAAATGCCCTCCAGCTGGCTAGACCTTCTCATCCAACTGTCCAAGAAACAAGACTTTGCTCTTACCCAGTCAGCTCAGTTCATTGACACCTGGTAAGGCTCTATAATTTCTGCATTAGTAATAATAGTGATAATATTATTAATAATTAGAACAAAAATGATATTGAAAACAATCACAATGACAGTAATAAGTATAATAACAATAATAGTTATAATAACAATTATAGTGATATTAATGGTGATGATGATGATGTTAATACTATTTAAACAACAATGATAATAATAATAATAATTTAATAATAATAATAATAATAATAATAATAGCAATAACAAAAAAAATATTTCGTTTGTTCAGTTTTTTTCCCTTATTTTTTTCCGTATTCTTTGATATTTTTTAAATATTAGCAATCCTTTTGCAAATGTGTCTCTCGTTTTCTGAATCCTGCATAGTTGTTAAGAAAAAAGCGAAATATCCTCGACACTTTCGACCAGTAGTGTCAAGGTGTTTAGGATCCGCGTCTGTGGTGCGGTGGTTAAGTGCTTGGTTGTCGAACGCGGAGAATCTGGCATCGACTCTCGTGTGGGGTAAATGTTTATGGAGTATCACCATCTTCCCACTGATGTATTGTAGCCTTCTCAGCCCGGACTGGCCCTAACAGACAGTTTTCAAACTAACTAAATAGTGCCGATGGGGGCGTAAACACCTACATTAAAATTGAAGGTGTTGAGAAAAGCAAACACGAGGAAATTAAGTTTATGAGAATTCTCGTGATATTCATCTGTATATCTATCTCTCTTCTTCGCGTCCCCAGCATGATCATTCCAAGCGTGGCTGGTCTGCCCATCCACTTCGACGTCAACGGTACCGGCACTGTGGACCTGGTTCTAAGTGGCAAGATGGACCTCAGGAAGCTGGGATCCTCTCCTCGTTCTCTGGACATCGATGGTGAAGTTCGCCCAAGGTATTTTATGCACCCCCTAACTCTGAAAGTAAAACAATCCCACAAAAAACAAACAAACGGGCATACCAAATATCAATTGTCTTTGAAAGGCCTCTCTGATTCAATTAATGTATTTTTTCTCACTCTTCCCTTTGCATTGAATTAAACAAACATTCACATTCTAAGAGTTTAAAACGCCCGAAAACATCAAAGTCAGTGTTGGCTTTTCTTGCAGAGTCAGTTTCAGCAAAAAAATTAAGTTAACTTAATGAAATAATATTGTTTTACTGATTTTTAAATGGTTTATAATGGTTATCAGCTATATGTATATTTTAAAATAACCTAGATAAAGGAATATCGATGCAGGTTGGATTCATATAAAAACATAATTTTAAAAATATTGCTGTTACCGCACAGACATTTGTAATCGAGTATTTACTGAGGAGCAAATTGAGAGGAGTACATGTATTTTTAAAATCGGTACTATTCGCTCTGTTTACACGAATTCAGCTGGTCATGCATTACAAAACTGGTATTCAGATCGATCGTAGATTGTATAATGGTGAGAATCTTTTGGCTTTTAAAGTACGGTATTGCTATAAACTTCTGGGGTATCTCAGTTTAACCCAGTAGATTTCTTCAAAATACTTTTTAATCTTCATTTTCTCAGTGCCGCTATTGAAATCACCGGAACCATGTTTGTGGACGCAATGGTCACCAAGACTGGACTGCGCATGCGTAACACTCTGCATACCAGCACTGCCCTCAAGGGACGTGTACAACTGGAGAGAGGCCAGCTGCTCAACATGGAGTTTGAGACCCCCCAGGACAAGATGGAAATCTTCAGCGCCGGGTAACTAGCCAATGACAACATTATGTTATATTCTCTCTCACTCTCTCTCTCTCTTTCTCTCTCTCTCTCACTCTATTCTATCTATCTATCTATCTATCTATCTATCTATCTATCTATCTATCTATCTATCTGAAGAGCCAGGTCTAGAACAGTGTCCATGAATTATGTCTCTCTAACCAGCTCTATATTCAGTCATTCTCGCTTGTGTGGCTGTGTCCTGACTATTTCTACTTGTCCAAGAATACTACTTCATGAAGGCACACTCGAAGTAATTGATCTTTTAATGTCATTTTTTTCTCTCTGCAAAATGTTTCCCCTTCTCAAAAACATTAAAATGTTATCTGCGTCACTGAAACTCAGAAAATCAATCTATGTTTTCGTATCGAATTCAACTTTACATTATATTTGGTTTATACATATTCTTTTGGTAGTCCGTGTTCCTGAGTTGTCCATGCTATTTTGCTCTTGAGAGGTTGGGAAGTTATATAGGTTTAAGGGCCTTTCAACAAAGTAAGGTTATTTAGAAGACGGGACCTCCGAATTTAACGCCAATCTCCAAAAGGACTAATCCAAATAAGCGGGGAGCCTTAAACACCCCCCAGAACAACCCATGTTCAGAAAGTCCCTTTGGGAATTTAAGCCAGAGGCATCCGTTCCTTAGCCGAGTATGATACCAACTGAACGAACAGCACGCCCTATTTATTATACTATTATCTATGCACACAATCATATATAGTTTTAGTAAGAGTTTTACGCCACTTGCAACACAATAAGGTTAATTAAGTGCCAACGATTAGAGGTGTTACAAGAGAGTAACAAACACAAAAAACCAGGGGAGATGAGGACGATATAATATGCTTCGTTTGTTTTGTTTTTGTAAAGTGTTTTACGGCGCTCGCAACTGTATAAGGTCATATGAGCGCGCGGGACACACCTAATATTTTCAGTAGGAAGGAAATTTTGAATTTTGCCCGGGTGGCGGCCGAAGCCTACTCTTATCGATTTTAGACCACCAAGGGATCTTTAACGTGTGCAACTTGCACACGGGCCCTCCGAGATTTTTCGCCCTGCCCGAGAAGGCTAGGTGTAGATCTTTCCTACCAAAAGATCAGGGGTGTGGCAGAAAGACAGCAGTAAGGAGGAGCCAAGGAGTAGCAGTAGAAAGGCTGCAGAAAGAGTCAGGAGCCCAGAGGAGAGGGCAAAGGAGGTGAGGGGGTGGGGGGCAGAAAGCGGAAATGAAAGCAGACAACAGAACATTGCTAGAGAGCAGGAAAGAAGGTGAAAGGAGACAATTTTAGAGTAGAAAATGTTTCGGTCGCTACCCGGATTCGAACCCGGGACCTTTGAATGAGAGGCCAACACCTTAACCTCTAGGCCACGAGAGCCCCCCTAATATGCTTCGTAAGAGAGAAGTGGCAAATCACACCAAAGCACTCACTAGCCAACCATACTCTTATCCTCAGGTCAAAGTTCTTCATCATCCACAACGACGTGGAAAAAGAGCAGGCTATGATGGCCGACAACCGTCAGGAGTACAAAGTGTGTTCTGGTGGTCAACTGGCTACTATTTTCGGAATGGAGATGTGCGGAGAACTGAGCTTCCCCAACGCTTCCATGGCAACCACAGGCCCGTACTTCCCCCTGACTGGACCCACCTCCGGAAGCCTGACACTGTACAAGAAGGATTCTCACAAGAGTTACAAGATTTTTGTCAAACGTGTTGAGGTATGTCTTTTGGTTTATTTG